CAAACCCAGAAAATCAGAAATGAGAGGCTTTCCCCTAGGGAATATTCTTAATCTAAAAGGTAAGTCCACGTGTGGTTTTTTTGTACATTCTTTTCTGCATCCAACACATGATGCCTTGTGACACAAAGAGATATAGAAAGCAAATCTTGTGTCCAGCCTTTTAGTAAAGAGCTGGCCTTCCCCATATTCATACCATTATTTGTGTTGATATTTATTTAGCATTTTCAATATTCCAGAAACTCTTCTGAGTGCTTTGCATTTTGAACACTGAATTTATAGACAGCCAAATTGCCCAAGGTCATACAGTTAAACATATAGTTAAAAAGCAGACCCAGGAGTCAGACCATCAAGGTTTGAATCTTGATTTTGTGGTTTCACTCTCCTGCCATCCTTTGCCTTATTAAATAGAAAACCAGGGATAAATGGAAGAGTTGGGTAGAAAGGGGTATCTTCTTGCACTTCTGGGTAAATGCCATGTCATCTCTGTCTTCATGACTTCCAGCATCCATGACATTATGGGTGGCTAAACATGATGACCACAAAGGGGCACAACTGCCAGACTATAGGCCTAACTGGAGTATTTGGAGCCTTCTGCCTTTGGAGCTGTTTGACCTCAGTGTTATAACTGGTTTCTCTCCACTGCTGTCCAAGAGAGATGACTTAACACCCTTCAGTGAACCCACGACACACCTCCTTCAGTCTGCAGCGTTCTAGGAATTCATGTCCCTGTAAATCTCCCAGGAAGCTGTCCAACACCCCCAGCTGATTTATCAACCAGGCATTAGCTCAGCAGTGACCATTTTTCCAGGCTGATTTCTCTTCACATATATTGTCTAGCGATCATTTGCCCTAGGTCTTCACCTTTTCGCCAGCTTTCTGATAGTCTAGAAATTACTGCTTATCAATATTTCTAAGTGCATAGCATAATCAGCTAAATGCAGAATAAACAGATTGGCTCAGCATCCCTCAGGATAGGGTATGATTGGTGGAGGCAGTTTTGAGAACTCCTTGGTAACCCAATCTTAAGAGACAGTTGACCCGGACCTTGCTTCCTAGTGTCCCACGCCATTTGTGGCCATTTCCTTGCATCCTGAAGTGCCACAGTGTTAAGTGTACCTTAGTAAACCCTACAAGAGGTACAACTTGGGGTACAACAACTACTTATTTGTAGTTGTCTTCCTATCCATTACGTGACAGAATTGGGTATAAAATCGATTGCCTTTTCCTCATTAAATGGGATTTTTCTGTTGACATTTCACAATGGAATCTTTAACTGAATGACATTCAATAAACATTTTTGTATATGACTGGGATCATTTAGACAATCTCTGAGTTAAAAATCTAGTAGGGCCACAAAACAATATGAAGTTAGCTGTGACAGAAGCTGCTGTATATTCAGTGCCCATTATTGGGAGAAGGGAATCAGTAGAGCACTGGTTAAGGACAGAGGTTTCAAGGTCAGACCAAGGTTCCAACTAAGCATCACCACCCAGTACCTAAGCGGCCTTGAGTCATTGTTTAACTTTCCTGCATCTACTATCTGTCCTGTGACAGAGATACATTGCCTAAATTCTCTTTCAGAGAAAGACTTTCATCTTAGCCGCGGGGAGTGCTGTGGACAGAGGCTTCGGCTGCCTTGTGCCATGTCATGCCCCTTGCCAGGGTGCTCACATCTAGTGGTTAACAGCGCAGTTCTATAAAGCCCAGGCCATCTCAGCTTAACCTTGGACAAATCTGAAGTACCATTCTTACTCCCTACAAACTCTCTTGAGGCTATTGTTAGTCTTCATCACAGCTCAGCTTCTCCCTCTGCTCATTCTTACTTCCTTCCCTTCACTCCCGTAGATGTTGATCTCAAGAACACTCTTAATAAGCACCCTGAATGCTAAACTCAGGGTCTACTTCCTAAGGACCGCAGCCTGTGATATGTCTTCACCTGCAAAGAGAGGCATAAAAATAATTGCATCAAAGAGTCATTGTAGGGGGTTGCATTATATAAACAAGTTGCTTAGCATAATACCAGACATGTAGAGGTCAGAAATAAAAAATCACCTATTTGGGAAATCATGAAAAATATATTGAAACAAGTGGATTTTAAGAAGACTCATGAAGGATAAGTAACATTCTAGCAGCAAATGTAGAGAAAAGATGTTCTGAGGGAGATGGCATACACGAAAATATTTGCCAGAAAGGGCTGGAATATTGAAAAATTGTACATGATTCCATTTGGCTGGAGGGTAAGATGACGGTGTGCATTGTGGGTAATTAGTTTAGAAAAGAAAGGCGGGACCCTACAGTAGAAGGCTCTGAATATACATTTAATCCAGTTGGTAGTGGAAATTGTTGCAAGAATTTGGACAGGAAAACACAATCTCAGTTGGTCTAAGGAAACTGAGTTGGGAGTAGCAGTGTCTCCTGGAAATAGGGAGACAATTGTGAAACTTAAGGGTAGAGAGTGTAAATGCTAAATTGGGATATTAACCGTGGGTATTTAAACAGAACAGAACCAATAGGATTATTAGTGTGGAGGACCAATTATCAAGATCTCATGAAAGGAGAATGTGATGTTGAGGCAAATGGAATGCTTCAAGCTGGGGTATCTGGAAAAAGACCAGCCTGAGGCATTCAGACATAGAATGAAGGTTTTGAAGGTGAAAATGAGAAGTTCTTTTTTTGACATATTTGTCAGAAGTCTCAGTAAAACAAGCAAATGAATGACATTCTGACTGGCCACTGGAGAGAAAAGCTGGGGTTGAAGCTATTGATTCTACAACCATCTAGAGAGTTAGTTCAGGGGAAACCCTGGGATATAGGCTCAAAAGAGATCAGGTAAACTAAGATAAAGAGGAGTCCTTGAGTTATATCCATAATTTCAACAGGAGATTCAGCATGGCAGCGTCAAGTTCTCAGAATGCTTCATGAAAAGGGCTAATCATCAGGTTCCAATGATGTGAAGTCAGCAGATGCCTGGGGGTTGTGATGTAGGGGAGTCTAATAAGTCAGGTCACTAAGATGTGACTGGTCGAAGAAATAACTCTAGTGCTACAACACAGGAGGAGGCTAGGTTGAAAAGGGTTGAGGCATGAGGGGCAGATGATAAAGTTTGCTAAGTTAGAGTCCTCTCATTGGCATGGCTCACTTCCTGGAGACGCCCCAAAGGAAGAGGAGCTGACATTTGAATCCCCAGGCACTACTCAGGTGCTTTGTGTGTAACTCATCTAATTCTCAAAACTACCCTTTTACAAATACTACTAATATCCCCATTGTTTTTATTTAGAGGAATGTAGATACGGAAAGAATAGTGTTTAAAGTCTCACAGGAACGGAGCTGAGACCAAACCTCAGAAGTCTGACTCTGGAGCCTACACTTAGAGTCCAGCTCTGCCTCTCACATCCCTTCTGACCTACTCTCCCCAGGACAGTGCTTGGACACCCCACCCTCATCCCCACTCCTCACTGAGTCCTTGGCTGCCTCTTGTCACCTTTCCTTCAGGACTTATATGTATCTGTATCTCTCCCTCAGGCCACGGGGGTGCCAAGCCAGCACATCTTGGTGGCCGTGCTTCCAGGCTTACCCACCGCTGCTGAGCTCTTTGTCTTGCCATATCAGGATCCAACAGGAGAAAACAAAAGATCAGCTGAGGACCTGGAGCAGGTGAGTCCCCCAGGTGACGTTTCAGCTTCTCTCAACAGTCTGGACCACACTCCTGCTAGGATCTGACTGCCACCACAGCAGCTCCAAGGGATCTCGGCTTAAGAGTGAGGGCACCAGCAATTTGTGGAGTTTTGGACTTTCTGGTCTTCCATTTCTATAATCTGGCGATCCTCACAATAGCTTCACCAAGAAACACATGAAAGAGTATTTGTTGTAGGCAGTGGCTAAGTTATGTATATTTACACTATGGAATATTCTGCAGTGTTTACGATGAACTAGATAAATCTATGCCTACTGACGTGACAAACATTTCTTACTTAAGATAGTAAGTGGGAAAAAAGCAAGTAGCTGAACAAAATATGGAGGTCGAACCGTTTATATTTTCATCTCAAAAGTTTCATGAGAATCAAATGACATTATATGTATCTTTTTTAAAAGGTACAACTTTTATACAGATCATGAATCTTCTTTATCACCACCATGCTAAGATGACCTGATGTGTGTTTATAATAAATGAGTAATATTAGCTCCAGAGACCCTCCAGTGGCTATGTAGGGTTCACTTCCCCAGGTCTACCACCTCTGGAGTATTAGAGTGTGTGTGTGTGTGTGTGTGTGTGTGTGTGTGTGTGTGTGTGTGTAATATTTAGGGTTTTCTACATATAAATCACCTGCCCTCTTTGATCTTTTTGTTCCTCCCCTTCTGCCTTTTAACTTCAAAAGATGCTCCCATCTCTGTAGTGGGGATCGTTGTTATACTATTGTTGTTGCTGTTGTTGTTCTCCATCCATTCAGTTAAAATGATCAGTCTCTGTCTGATTACCCTGTTAGAAACTATGTGATTTCAGTTTCTCCATTCTTTCTGGCAGATAGATTAAAAATAGGATTCCTCTCAGGCACTTAATGAATATTGGCTTTTTCTTCTCTAGTACTTTGAACTTTTCAGTTTACTTAGAATAAACTCATAATCTAGTTCCATGATCTCTATAGTCTTCCAAGATGGCTAGAGAACCTCCTATAACAGCCTTATTAACAACAACCCCAAATTACGGTGTGGCCCACCTCCTAACACACACCCTCCTTTCATCTGCCGCTTTCTCACTTGGTGGAAGACTCACCTCTGTAATTTGTAATTTTCTCCATGTGCAAGTAATAAGGAATAGAGCTGTCATGGAAAGCCCTGTTGAACCCCACTTCCTAGTGAACTGCAGGTGAAGGGCAGGCAGCTGATAACCCATCAGATGTGCATCCGAGTTGCTCAGCCCTGGCACTCAGCTTCCCATTATATTCTACCAATCACTATCTGGACCTGCAATTAAGTAGGAGAAAAAAATGTATTATTTTTTATTACAGCATTGCCAATGAGAACTAAAGAGAAAGTAGATTACTATCCTAGACGTTTAGGTATGAACATTTACAGTTTTTCCTCTGGAAATCTGACTGATTGTCCATGAAATCCAGATTATAATCTTTTCAAGTATAGGACAGTCCAGATTTAGAACTAGAATATTTCCTAGGAACCACATCATCTGTGCATCTCTATTTCTCATACTTTCTATATTTCTCTAAAAGTATAATATATTCTAGATCTTTCCTTGAGGAATTGTGGAAAGAAGAAGGGTACATTCTTTGAAACCTCTTCTGCTTGTGTAAGAATATATCTTGCTTTGACTGTTTTTTTTTTCTGGAGTACTTACTTTCTTTATCCTCCGTGTTATGCGAGTGCCTCTTTCAAAAGCATTCTCAGAGGGTTGAGTGATTGTCCTGAGGTAGCCTGGTACTAGGTACTGATAAACCATTAATCAGAGATCTGATAGCAGCTGGTTTGTTTGAAGGCTGTGTGACTTAGCATTTGGTACGTATATAAAGGGAATCCAGCCATTTTAGAAAGAGCACAGGTTTGGAGAAATATTAACCAGGTTTCCAGTTTCAGTTGTGATATTCATTATGTCTATTTTATAGATGAGAAAAATTATGACCAAAAAAAGTTAAGTAATTCAGCCAAAGGCACATAATCTATAATAATCATCTCCCAGGGTGTTAGAGATATTATTATAGAAATGATACGATAAAGTACTTGTCCTGTAGTAGGTGGCCAATAAATGGTAAATGGATGATGGTTACATTTATGGCCATTTTATGACAAGAGGAGAATATATAGGAAATGAAAAAAAAATTGACTGTTTGGTATAGTCAAGGCATGTACTGGAACAAAAAGGATGGTGGGGGTAAAAGGGAAAAGATTAATGAATGAAATTATAGAAGAGAACAAGGACAATAAAAAATAGAAAGAGCATATATGAATGACTCTGTTGGAGTGAGGATGACACATCTAAGTGATCATGTAGAGTTATAGCTTATGAAAAACAAAGTACCAAGCTAAAGATTATAACTCTGTTTAAGGAAATCTCAAGTATATCAACTTTATCCAGGACTCAAACTAAACCAAATACAGTGACCAAACAAATGCCAAACCAAGCACGTAAGACCAGTGTCTTAGTTGTAGAGAAGAGCATTATCCTGATTAAGAACTGCAGTAATGCAATCAACATGCAAAACTGAAGCCATGTGCCAACCTGTAAAATAGGGGCCCTCCATCAGAAACCTGTAGTTTTCTTCCAGAGAGGAGCCTTTGATATTTTCTCTGACTCAGTCACTTTAAAATGAATGAATTCTGTCCCCAACGAGATGTGACTTGCCTAAGGTGACACAACTCTTTCGGGCAAATGAGATTCTAGTTCTGTTTTTGCAACTACCTCTAGAGCCTCGTGGGCTATCCCTTCCACCCCATGCTACAGACATGGATTTGAATACCACTTTACTTTTGTGTATCCCCAAATACCAAGGTTGTTGCACCAGGAAATGAATGTGAGATGTTTCGTGTATCTGTCTGTCTGTCTGTCTGATGCAATTAACAGCTATTTAGTTCAAACAAATTTAAGGGAAAGTAAATTGTTGAGGTTATTTAGTTGAAAAGTCTAAGGATACAGTTCAAACAAGAATAAATTCAGAGCCATTCAAAAGTGTCACCAAATTACTCCCCTCTGTTCCTCTCTCCTTCTTTCTCTGTCTCTTTTCTTAGCTGCCACATGGGAAGGCTACCTAAGAGTGAAGCCAACATATAGGAAGGCAAGAGTGGCCACAGGAAGCCCTGGCCAGCTTCTATTTAGTTCGCTTGTCAACTCCATCCAGAAGACAATGTCTCCCCCTGATTGCATCACAAGAGCCCCAGGTTAACAGTTCTCACTGGCCCGACTTGGGTAAAATAGGCATCTCTTAACTAGCCCTGTAGCCAGAGGGATAGAATGCTGTCAAGTCAGATGTGTTATACCCTCTCTGGATCAGGAGTTTAGGGAGCCCCTCCTAAATCAAATTAACTGAGATGAAGGAGGACATGGTTCTTAAAGAAAAATGTGAATGAGAGAGAAAGAACACTGGGCAGGCAAAAGCAACTGACCTCTTTTGTAATAAATAACACAGAAATTTTAAATGAATACAAAGCAAAACCAAGCAACAGAACGGGTCCGCCTTGTTTGAACGCTGCACTCTGAATCCCAGTTGACATTTGGGAAGGGCTGACCATATCCCATATCCCCCTGGCTCCTTTCTTGTAAAGGTATAGCACAGAATCCCCACCTGGCCAGGTGGACCCTGAAGACTGAGAGAGCAAGACCCCAGCAAAGGGTTCTTGGCCCTCCTCCCTTTAATATCATTTCCAGGAGAGAGGGATGCTGGCTTAGACTGAGCTATCTTGTCTGAGAAATAAATTGAAAATCCCTCACAGTGAGAAGTACTTGACCTTGCTATCAAGATAATGTGGGCTGGGTTAATCAAGTGACCTCTGTCTGGGAGGGTTCCACCAGTCTTTATTTCAGATCTCTGGTGAGTGAGAAGAGGCTCACTTGCCCTTTGCTGGCCTCATCAGGGATAGTACGTCCTGCTACCCTGAAGACAGCTGCTCAGGTATAGAGCAACCCCTCCCCCACTGTCACTGTGCTTCCCTTCTCTGAGTCCTCAGAAGTGAGCAGATTTGTAACTGCCTCTCCTGGAGAGAAGAAAGGCCTTCATGCTCTCTCAAGGTTGTTTGTGATGCTGTGCTGGGGAGATAGGAGCCTATAAGTTGTCTTGCAGAATCCTTAAAGGGCATGGAAACACTTAAAAGGAACAAAAAGACTATGGAAAAAATGTCAGCCGCCAACAATGAATTCCCTTCTTGGTTGTTTGTGTTTCCATATGCATTTGACAGGTGCAGAATCCACAATCCAGGGAAAGGAAAGGCACCTCTGAAAATGGAAGTCTATTGGCAGCATTTTCAAGAAGTAAAGATTCATTCTGAAATGTAATTGATAATCTCAGACTCTTTTCTATATGACCTCATAGTCTATTTTTAACATGGGGAATTGAACTATAGAAATACTCTGGAGTTCACAAGGAAGATCATTAAAGCGGGGAACTATAACTAAAAGTAGAATAGGTAAGAGTTGGGCCAAAAGTAACATGGCGAAAGGAGACAGAATGTAGAACTGGGGAACCCAGAGGGGAGTATGAATGGCTAATTTATTTCTTCATTAAATCATCCAGGAAATTTCCTGGGCACTTTATTTTTTTAATTGCAGTTGATGTTCAGTGTTATTTTATACAAGTTTCAGGTGGATGGAATACTGGTTAGACATTTATATACTTTACAAAGTGATCCATTCAATTAGTCTAGTAGCCACCTGGCACTAACATAATTATGACAATATTACTGACTATATTCCTTATGCCGTACTTTACAACCTCATGACTATCTTGTAACTACCAATTTGTATTTCACTTTTTTCACCCCGCCCCGTGACCCTCTCCTACCTGGCAATCACCAGTTTGTTCTCTGTACGTATGAGTCTGTTTCTGTTGTATTATTCATTTATTTTGTTCTTTAGATCCCACCATGAGATCACATGGTATTTGTCTTTCTCTGCCTGACTCATTTCACTCAGCATAACACCCTCTAGGTCCATCCATATTGTTGCAAATGCTAAGATTTCATTCTTTTTTATGGCCAGGTAATATTTCATTGCATAGATTTACCACCTCTTCTTTATCTGATCATCTATTGATGGACACTCAGGTTGCTTCTGGCTATTGTTCATGTCTATGCTGCAGTGAACATAGGTGTGCATATATCTTTCCAAATTAGTGTTTTGAATTTCTTCAGATAAATACGAAGAAGTAGAATTGCTGGGTCATATTTTTAATTTTTTGAGGGACCACCATACTATTTTCCATAGTGCTCTTTTTCTCTCTTATGATATTGAGAATGAAAATGTTTGGGGGCACTACTCCACCAGCTTGAGTCAGTGTGTGACCACAATGAGCACAGCACCATGGCCTACCTGCATTGTGAGCAAGAAATATATTTTTATCATTCCAAACCTTTGAGACTTTAACACTGTTTACTTCAGCCTAACCTAGCTCATTCTCATCGTTACACTTCAATTTCATGTTTTGTAAAGAAGATAAGGAGGAACGTTGATGTTTTCACTTTAGCAGGTCCCTCCCACAGCATCCTTTGGATGATTACTTTCAATGTATTTTTGAGTCCCCACTGTCTTTTCAAGTGGTATTATAAGTGAAGTGTGAGTTATATTAGAATCACAGGCATAGCCCACCAATCGGCAGATGCCAACAATAATATGTCGTTTCTTTGATCATGGTTATTTAGCTGCAGAAGAATAGAAAATGGACTGTGTAGGAGAGCAGCATAAGAGGGTTGACAGCACAAAGGATAAATGAAATTTGCTAAGACAACACACTTTCACTGGACAGAAAAAGGAAAATAAATTCAGCTTGCTTCAGCAGGTCCAATCTCCCAGCAATCACACATTATTTTCCTTGATTCTTTATCATGCAAGCTTTTGTTCTTCTCATTCAGGCTGTCAGCACACTTTTCTATATATTTCAGGTTATTCTACTTCTTTCATAGCCAAAGACTCTCCCAAACATTACAAATTATATTAACTGGCAAACAGAATGTGGCAATCCTGAGGGTAGGGTTAGGAATCGCCTATTGCTGTAACTCATATTCATCAGCTGACATAGGACTGGTATCACAGATGAATAAGAGATGGCAGAATAATTAATAAAGTGCTGCATTTTTTAAATCTCCTAAACCTGCTTAGCCCAACTTCTTTCCAAATATCTTTTGTTCTCTCTTCGTCAGCTGGTTAAAGGAAAGCGTTTTTAATAAAAATGCCGTAGGATTAGGAGTCAAACAATATTGAAGTCTGCTCTCGACTCTTCAAATATTAACTCGGTAAACTAAGGTATGTCCTTTAAGCTCCATGTTCCTTTCCATGGAAATACCAGCACTAACACCTAAAACATTCTGAGTTAGAAATAATAGTAAGAATTATGCAACTTTACCAATATGAAGTGCTCAATGCAAAGACAATATACTTAAAATATATCTATAACAATTCATGATCTGAAGAAAAAATACAAGGCAAACATTCTGCGAGTGGCATAGAAAACATTTAAAATATTGTCAAAATCTGTCAACAGTTTTATACTCATTTATTTGAGTAGAGAGGTACATGGTTCTAATGGAGATTATTCTTGTATGCAATGTAAATTTTATTTAGTTTTGTTTCTGTGCTTAATTTCTTTCCAACAAACTATGTGTTCTTTATTTCATGTCCTTTGATGCAAGTTAAAAACATGAAACATACTTTCTGCTAACCAATTATTTTTGCATAGCCTGCTTAATTTTGTAAATGATACAGATAAAGCCAACAAAGCAATGTTATAAATGAAAACAAATCTGGGAAGTTAATTATATTCACCAGGGACTCTCCTGGAGATTATAAATCAGAAGTATGTTGTTCTGATGAACTCTGTTTTCTTGTTTAGTTATTTATATCTCTCACTTGAGGAAAAAAGACATTCTCAGAGATGAGAATAAATATCACTTCGAGTGATTGAAAAAGAGAAGTCTTTCTCTTGCAAATACATAATTCTCTTTTGTTCATGTGATAGACTCTGTAACATAGGGCAATTCCTTAATTACTTCTGACCAGTCTTACTATTTGAGTTCAAACATTTTCTGCAAATATAAGTATGTATATGTGCACTTATGTACCATATGTAGATAAACATATATATTTTATACATACATAATTATATATATTTCACATATATATGCTCACATTTCTATATGTGTGTATGCATATGTATGTGTGTATTTCATAACTAAAACCTTTCTGATTGACCTCTACTAAAAATCCACTGTCAGGTTCCCCAAAAGACCTTACAGTTGAATGATAAGAATAAGGTAGAATAGGAACTTGTATATTGCAACAATTTAGAGAACACAGAGGAAAAGCATTCTACAGTCTGTATTAGAAATCCACTTTCTGTAAACCTGGAGCACTATGAAAGATTCTCAAGTCCCAGGAAATAGAATAGCCCAAAATAGAGAAAAAAATTCTTTTCAGTGTAATTTTATTACAGTCTTGTTTTTCTGCATGGGTTTCCAAATGAAACCATTTGAGAGGCTGAGCTTGCACTGGATCCCAGGTGCTCAACCACAGGTCATCTCAGGTTCCTGCTGTTAAGCAAAGAAGTTCATCTGCAGGCCAGTTGGGTTCTGTTACGAAGCTGAGGCTTCTGCAAGAGACTCTCTTTCAAAACAAAGCCATCTGGCCCTGCCTAACTGATCAAAGGATCAAAGGTGTCCTTTCGGCAACTTGATAGACTAAATGAAACTCAACAAATGTAAAAGGAAAAGTAAGAATTTAGAATCACAGTCAGACAGCATCTAAGTAGACTTTAAAACATGTTAAAGAAAATATTAAATTAATTGATTAGAATATTAAAAATTAGGCAATGAGACCAGATAAAAATAATTGGAGTGAGAGAATAGCTTTTCAGAAATTATTCAAAAGGATAAGTGAAACAGGGTAAACTGAGCTGGGTTTTCTGTTTCAAACAAGTGAACAGAGTTTTACCTTATCTTTAAAACCTTACCTTATACAGTTACTCCACACACAAGGTTCTTGGCCCCATATTGGGGTTAAATATTCTGTGGCCCAGAATTCCGTGTGTCTGTCCAGTATATGTGTCAGACTGAGGAATGGTTCAGCTGAAGTCCACAATCATGAAACAAGGGTCAGCCATTTCATGACTTAAGTTGTGGTTGCACTTTGTTTCAACTTTATAATTTATTATTTTAAAAGGACTATTTTGCCATTCAGTAAATATCCATAACGTATCTATTCTGTGAAAGACACAGGGCATGTTTGAGAAAGAGGTGGGAGGCATAGGGAAGAATAAGTTGGAGTCTATTACCAAGATGTAAGATTAATGTATATGAATCTCTCCACAATGTATGAAGTGTACATATCTACTTCTTTTATGTTCTCTATATAACAAATCTGCTTTAAAAACTGGGAGTGACTTTTTAAATACTACAGGATAATTTTTAAGATTAAAAATTATTTGATTAATCAATAGTTTATACTATTTTAGCATTTGGGATGTAAAGTAAAGTCATGCTTAAAATAATTATTTCTGTATATTCTGGAACAAAAACTCAAAATCATATAACACTCATTTAGATAATTCATAGGTATAATATTGGGACTACTTTGGTAAATACAAGGAATATTTTTCAGCACGTGTGTTTATAATTGGTATAACAATTTGGGCGGCACTCACTATGACACTTCTTCTTTCAGATATCAGAACTACTGATCCACAAGCTCAATCAAAACTCGGTGCACTTTGAGCTGAAGCCTGGAGTCCAAGTCCTTGTTCACGCAGCTCACTTAACAGCAGGTCAGTTTCCATGTCCCTGGGTTCTCGCCAGAGGCTGGAGTGAAAGGGGCTCCCACTCTGTTGTTTCAATGTAACAAGACCAGATGGTGCCCCTCCTTATCAGAAACAGGGAATCAATCGTTTTAGCTTCCCTTGCTTGGCATTTTTGCCTTAATGGGGACCCATAAAGCAACAGAAGAAAGTGACTTTTCTCACTTGTCCCTAGCAGTAACCACCAGTGAATCACTAGGTACATACTCCTCAAATAATAGCATACTTCATCTCAACAGAAATCTTGCAAATAAACTTAACCCTACAAATAAATGTTTTCTGATCTTTCTGCAAAAGCTTATTTTCAAGTCATTCATGTCATGAATAATTTTCTTTAAGTTTTGGGATAAGGTAGTGCAGAAGAAAGAGCTGAGACTTAGGAGTTGTACAGGATCATAGCCAGGAATTGAACCCCGAGTTGGTAATGATCTCACAAATTAATTAATGTCATTGAGCTTCTATCTCTTTACCTATAACATGTGTGTGTGGGCGGGGGAGGGGGGTGATAGCGAATCCTCTTCCTAAGGCTATATACAAGTCTCAATGATAATTTAGGTAATCCCAAGTATATAGAAATAGATATTGTTGTTTTGTATTAATACGAAATTAAATTAACAACATTTATTGGGTATTTTTTTGTAGAGCTAGTGCTATATAGAGTACATAGAATATAAAGCCCAGTAGAAAATGATCTTCGTCATCAAAATACATATGATCTGGTTGAGGTGTGACAGAGTTTGCTGTTAGCAGTGGTGGTGGTGGTGGCATTGTTGGGTGGAGGAGATGGGCATTGGCGGGTATCTCAATGAATAAAATAAAGAAAATGCCTCTTATATAAAGAGACAGTAGAGCATATTGGATTTTGCAATTTTTCAGCCAGACCATTGGTTTCAATCTTGGCCCCGTTACTCCCTCACGATACAGACCTGGAGAAGAGACTCAACTTCTCTGTGCTGTAGAGGTGGCAATAGCACCTATGTCAATGGGATTGTGTGAGAATTAAGTTAATGCACTTAGAATAGTGCCTGGCATATAGTAAGCCATTATTTTTTTCTTTTCACTCTTTTTATTCTTAGCAAAGTTGTATAAGAAATTTAGAGAAGAGATAAATTGTGTCCAGTGAAAATGACACAGTAAAGTGCAAAGAAGGAGGTGGTCTTTGGAAAAGACCTTGAAGGATGGGTAGGATTGAACTTCAAAGATAGTCCAGGCTCCAAAGCACCAAGGAAGAGCCCTTGGGAACCTCAAGGGCTATGAGGATGCTGAGAAAGTGTGGACAAAGAGCGACAGTTTCCAACTCTATTCTCTGGTTTCCTGGAGAACCTGAAATTGTGCCTAGGTCTAGAAGAAGGCCGAGTAGGTTGACCTCTTTTCTGCTTGTATATATATATTTTTATTTGAGTTTCATAAAATTGTATTTTAAAAAAACCCCACTGCCTTAAGAGAACAAATATTTAAAAGCCACTCTTCCTGAGCATGGGATGTGGAGGTAGAGAGTAGAGATATGCCAGAGTGAGCAGTTTATAATTCCTTTGGTGGGCTCTGGGAAGCCATGGAGACCTTTGAGCTGAGGTATGACTGACTCAGAGGATCACTTGAGGAAGATGACCCTTAAGAGCAAAGAGGGCTGAGTCAGGCTGATTTGCTATTCTGCAACTCACCATCCGAATTCCTCCGCTGAACAGACATTAATTAAGTGCCTACGCTCAGCCAAGCATCGTTCTTAGCATGGGCTGTTCTCTGCCTTCATGAAGTGTCCACAAGCAGGGAAAGGCAGGCAGGAAGCAGATTAACAAATGTCACTTTTTGAATTGTACTGCAGACAAAAATGCCCTGAAGAAATTATAGAACTGTAAGAGAACAGGGAAGGTTAAGCCTCACCTGTGAGAGCAACCCCTATGTCTACGGTCTGAACAAAGCCCACCAACTTACCAAGGACATTTGATGACCTGGATTGGTCATTTCCTACCCAGAATATTGACTTTTGGTCTTTGGTAGAAGGTGGCAACTGACACATCTGTTACATAGAGCTGGTTAAAATAGAGAATGAACAGTCTAGAAATATGAGTTGTCATTCTGATAGCCGACCACTGACAAATTGTCAAATGAGTAGAAAGTAACTACTTGAAATTGGTTTAAATAGGTTTACTGATTTGTTTAATTTAATTAGATTGTCTAGCCTGTTTAGTGGGCAGACTAAACCTCATCTAGTTCATTTCTTGTGATGCAAAATTTGCTTTCCAACATACTTCTGAATGAGTGCTGTCTTCAGGCACCATCTTTTGCTATAGAGTAGCTTAATATATGAGAAAACCTTTCTGTACTATTTACCAGGGGATTATGTTGGAAAGGGGAACATCACAGGTCAAGGTAGTCATACAACTAACCCCATTTTTTCCAATTCTGGGAAAATCTGGAAAATTTTTCTAATTAATGTTCATAGTTCATTCCATGTCTGGGGAGCAGGACTCAGATCCTTGGGAAGAAGGACTGACAAAGGGAGATATGTTAATGGGAACACAGGTAAGCACACTGAGCTTTTAAGGGGATCCCCCTGCAGCATAAATATATATGATGAAAGGTTGCCAAAGAATGAGAGAACAACCACCACCACCACCACGACAAAAATTCATTTCGAGGCAAAAGCCCAGTCTTAAACTGGGCCAAGTTGAGTAGAGTGAGAACATTCGTTGACTCCCATTGTGACTGTTCATGGCTCTTCCTGTTAGATATGATAGTAGAGCCTTTTGACATTGTAATTCCAAACCTGATCAGCCAGTGTTATTGAGCTTCCTGTGTGACTAGCTCAGTGACTGGAGCAAATGCAGGCTTATATGTGGATAATCAACTCCAATTTGAAGAGTAAAGGAAGAGAATGTCAGGCGCTGATGCAATAACTGAGTTTTGAAAACTTTTGTTATATCGAGTTTAGCCCTGTTTGTCGTAATAGTGTTAGAACTGGCAGTACACACAGGTGCAAAGTCACTCTCAGCCAGACTTTCATGTGAAAAAGACAAGGTTTGTGTTAAGGCTGGCACTTTAGTGATTGTGATGAGGCAGTAAAATATATGAGAGCCTGGTTTCCTGTTGGAGATTGGTCCTAAATTAGCTAAAACTATATATACATATATATATATATATTTTTTTTTAATTATTTGAACAGAGTGGTAGATTATACCTACCATGACAGTGGAGAGAATTCTCCTTTAACACATAGAAAATTTGGCACATTGGATGGGGGATAAGTTCATTGGGACACTTGCCACGATTTCTTTTATTAAGTTTAAATTAACACATTCCCAATTGAATGGGTAAGAAGAGAAAGAAGAAGAAACCTAAGGAAAAGAAAAAACAGTGAGGAAGGGTATTTGATGCAGAGGGTTCACCTCAGTTGCCTTTCCCTGCCTCTCATCCCTGCTGCAGGCAAGAGAAAATAAAAATTAAAAAAAAAAAAGATAAAAAAGAACCACTGTTTGCAACATTTCATGTCTCATAAGCAGGATTGCTAATACCTTCCCAGGGACCATTATAGCACGCTACTGCATTCCATTAATTGCTCAGCAGATGTTCAGCAGCCTTCTTTTAAAAATGTTTGAGCCAGAGTATGTTGCTGGTGAGAGAAGCAAGGCATAATTTGGTTTGTCTCCAGGGAAAAAGAACTGTCTCCTTTCAGGAATTTACTAGCCTTATTTTGTGTTTCAAATTCACTTCCCTGTTAGCTTTTATGGGAACACAAGGTAAGCATTTCCAAATACCTGGATGTCATTAGAGACTGGATTTAGTTTGTTTGCCCCCACGTGTTCTATTTGGGAATTCATTAACTTTGGTATCTAAGCCGAGCTCAACTTTGAACGCAGTCCTTGTTTTGTTCTTAATCGTTCGTATACTCCTCAGTTACTGCGCAATTTCTCTTGAGAACCTAACCACTCCTGAAAGCTATGTTTCTGAAATGCTCTTTGCAGAAGGGAAAGATTTAAAATTGTCTGAGAATAGGGAGAGAATGAGAAGCTGTTGTCAATAGGGTTGGTGGGGGGCAGGGAGGCCATGGCAGGTGTGGCTGTCTTTGGCGTTCAGGACCTGGTGGCAGCTGGCATCCATGTTTGGCAGACAAAGGCTAAGATGTTACAAAACAACTCAGGGAATTGGAAAAGGGAGTAGAAATGAATCAAGCTGAGACTTGGACTGGAAACACTGGTGTTTTGACTGAAGCGTCCCTTTACTTATGCTATTGCTGGCTGGAATATTTCTCCCCACTTTTCCACCTCTCTACATTTCCTTACTCTATTTATATTTTCAGGCTCAACTCATTGCCAATATGTGCATGATGTATTTCTAGGTGTCTTTACATGGATATCATCTACCCCTTGTCTGAACTCACATGCATTTTTTAAATCTACATTGTCATTGTCATCATCATCATCATTATCATCACTTTGATTTTACTTCTTGAGGATACAGTTCTGCATATCTCAGTATTGTCTCCACTATTGTACCCAGCGGAGAACTTCCACATATCAGGTGCTCAATAAATATTGCCTTTATAAATAATTAAGTGTATCATCACTTTATAAACTGTAGAGATATATTCAAAATCCCATTCCCCCAGTTAACATTCAGATTAAGTTTATTTAATTGTAAATCTGTTCCATGACCTGCTACTCATTACCAAATAACTGGTGAGTGGAGCCTTGCATTTATTTATCCAATAAACATCCAGGAAAAACCCATTTCTGTGTTTTTATGTCAGGTATCCCTTCAAGATATATTAGAATCATTTATATCCACATTGTGGGGAATGGGTAGGTTTGAGGAAAATGAGAGTTCTGTGTTCTGGAATAAGAGTTCACAAAGGCCACAGGAGAGAGACTGTCATGAGGGCTTCTTCCGAAGGAGACTGAAGCAATTTAATGTATTGACTCTCATCTTACCTCTCTGGTCAGAGAGCAGCCTCACGTCATGGCAGACTCAGG